ATAACCATCTCTCTCATTATATTTCTCTATTAACGCACAATAAAATTTTTCAATCGCGACAATAACAGTAAATAACAACAATATATAAAGTTCTTTTGGTTTCGAATTTGCATCGAACTTTATATCAATGATACAAGGTATAATTTATGCTATAATATTGTATTAACACAATTTGAACTGCAGTGCATAATTGACATAAAAACAATGTGGAATACGACCACTGTAATATGACATCGACGCAATTTTAACTGTCATATCAAATCGAAAAAATGCGTCGTCAATACGATATCAGCAATTTAAAAATAATGTTAATTTTTACGTTTAAAATATTATTACGTTAAATCGATAATTGAAATAACATTGTTTTCATAAAAACAACGCGTAATACTTATAATAATACTATAATAATGCATATACATAATTTTAATTGGTGCATTATTTCGTATAAAATAGTGCAATAAACTTCGATGTCGTAATAATTTAATCACTCTTATGTTTTATATTTATTATGGGTTTTATATTTATTAATATGACCGTCTGATGTTATTGGAGCATGTAGCGATAATATGTCTGCTCATTTAGATTCAAAAGTTTCTGTAGAAGATGAAATAGAATATTAGAACAAACGGAGGTAGAAAGAGGAAAAAATAGTATTGTGTCTCGAAAAGATAAACTAAATTTTAAGCAATTTAAAAGATTAATTATTTGCTACGCGATTTAATTTATATTATCACCATTATAACTATTGGTTTTAAAGCAGCAAATTTTATGTATAGTTTTATTACACATTTTATTACTAGAAATATTAATTTAATATGAAAAAAAGTATGAAAAAGATATTTATAGAAAATATTGAAGAATTATATGATTCTTGAGTGATTGAGTATAGCTTATGTTTTACAAAAGAACTCCCGCGTTTTCTACGTCACACCCACATCCTGTAAACATTGTCTCTTTACGCGATGAACCCTACCTGGCTCGCGTGTACCGGATACGCTCCTGGTCAATGTGCAAGAGAAAGAAAGAGAGAGAGAGAGGCCGGCCTCACCTACCGAGAGAACCTCCAGTCTTGTCGAGTGTTCCGTGGCGGTCGGCGAGCGTTGCGATTAATAGCGACTGCACCCGCGAATCGCATTCCGATCTCGCGATTTTCAGTCCGGAGTCTCGCGTCGGAGGGATCACTCTGTCTCGCTTTCTCTCTCTCTCTGGAGCGATGCGGACGCACCGGGTATAAATCGGAACGCCGGAGAAACTCTGACTTCTATGATGGACAGTATCTGTGTCGAGATCGCCATTCGTCAAATGATACCAGTGTCGAAACGCGAAATGTGCGCCGAAGATCGATTCGCGGATTGGCGCGTCTGATCGATATCGATGGATTTTTCCTCGCGCTCCCATCCCACTCGTTTGATAAAAGTGACACCTTCGTACTACCCTCGCGAGTCCTCAATCGCGCTTTCCATCTCGTAAACCGGATGCAATCTTGTTTCCCATCCATACATGACATAATCGTGGCCGAAGAGACGAAGCGCGGGTATCGTGCGCCGTTGCGTAAAACGAAGCGCGCGTAATTTCCATCAAGAGCGTTATCCGATTAACGCGGAATATCTATGAGACCTTGGAATTCGA